AAAAAAAAAAAAGAAAACGTGTCTAATTTCTAAAACATCAAATGAATACTACATGCTAATATTAAATATATTTACACAGAGAACTAACTTATTATTGAATAATGAAGAAAAAAAAGAAAAAAAAAGTGAATAATAATATATTACCTTGCGACCGAAAGTAAATTTAAAGAAGAAATTAAGTATTCCTGAAGGAATGCGTGTCCCAAGGGCGTGTTGCAGATTAACCTTGTATCCCTTTAAAACAAGATCCATGTTCTTGGTACGCCAACAAGCAACTGCCCATACCAAATGATTTTCTATCATCGATATCATGGCGTGAGATACGCTACGTTGTTCGGACGTTAATGCAGCATCCAAATCCTTTCCATATTTAGTGCTAAGTTCACGAAGGATGATCGTACTATCAGCTATTTCTTCACCGTTCACTTCGACGAATGGTAATTGGCCCTTCTTCGAACGGAACTTCATCTTGTGATCGACGTTCTGTAAAATATAAAACGAAACTAAATCACATATGTATTTATTACAAAGTTTAGAAAAGAAATACGAATAGAAAGAAAGAAAAAAAGAAACAAGTAAATTAGCATCGTTATGTTCCACCTTGTGGAAAGAATACTTCAAACAATTCTAAAAAGGAAGGGGAACGACAATGGGGGAAGGTAAAATGAATCATCTTATCTGATCACTGTACTCGAGACAGTAGTTTTTAGACTGTTAACAGAAGTTTCGAATACAATAAGACAACTTTTCGATCTTATATCCAATCGAAGACGACCTCGTTTCGTGATATTATTTTGCAAACTCATTAAAATGGTTGTTGATGATGGTAATTCATTTTATAAGATCGAATTAATTGTATATACAGATTAATTTGATTTTAACAATGATTGTATGAATTAGTTTGATTATATTAATTGATATTATCTTTTTATTTTTTCTGTGAAATTTTTCTTTTGAAATATATTATTTTATATAAATTTGATTGAAATTAATGTAAAATATATACATTGTATCGATATAATGTTTGATAAACTTGAAAAATGGTAGACTCAAGAAGAGGAAACATTCATATATATAAACGAGCTTTGGAAAATCTACATTTCTATTTATAAAGTTCACCACGCGTGAAATACATAAGACGACTTCCTTTCCTTCCCTTCCAAGGAAACGAAAAAGAGAATTCTACCGAAAACTTTGGTTTATAGTCGAAGTGTTGAAGTGTTGCAATTGAAAAGTTCAGTCAGTATTCGTTGCTTTAATGCAACACGATGCCCTTTCTTAGAAATTATTAAAAAGAAGTGTTGTAGATAGATAGATATTAGATAAATAGATAAATATATGCACCTGTTCATTTTTCTTATTCTATTTATGATTTTATATTTTTTTTTTTTTGTTCAAACCCAACCATATACATATTATATTTATATACACATACATACTTCTTATTCCGGAAGTAAGTTATATTCTCGGAAATGAACTCTTCTTTATTAATGGCATAAAGAAATGATATTATACGAGATCGGTTTATGCTGATATGCAATTCTCGTTAAATCGGATCTAAATAGGAAAAATAAAAGACACCTGCATGTATCTAAAAATAACCGTATAATAATATACATCGATAACGTTAGTAATACATTTATTATCATCATCATAATCATCATCATCAAAACAATCTTTAAGCAGGATATATTTCTTATACGTTTATTTATTTTATATATCATTTTCAATTATAATATAATTATAATAATAAAAATATATAAAAACACACACACACACACAAAAGTTGATTTTAAAATAAGAAAAAATTAGAATTAAATTTAATTACAATAACAAAAAAAAAAAGAAACACAATGTTAACTAGATCGATCATCCATCGATATAGTTAAAACCCTCCCCCCACCTGTCTCATCATAGTCTCACGTGTCAGTAAAAGATTCAGACAGGATTAAATGGGGAACAAACAAAACAAAAAAAAAAAGTTAAATACGTTCGACGACAAATACCAATACCAACCAAACCCTTCCCCATTCGACATTCTATTAGAACACACTAGCCGTGAACAACCTTTCGAAAACTTAGAAAGATCGCTTTATCGACTCCCCCTGTCTCCCTTCCTCCTTCTCACCCTTCCACCCTTTGCTAGGAGAAAAGCTTATCGATCGTTAAAAAAAGGGGGAAGTTTCACAACCCCCTTACTATATATCTCATATCCTCTGTCTCTTTCTATTTTCTTTCTCCATTCGACCGACATAAAACCTTTACGCGTTTCTCGGTTTTTAAGCCCACAGGACGTAGTACAATTCTCATGTCTCTTCTTCTTTTTCTTTTCCTCTTCCTCCTCCCTCCTCTTACACCACCCACCCTATTCTACCTCCCCCCTGTTTCCCTCTTTAGTAACTCCGAAAGGCAAAGTCTAACACACGGATCGGTTTTACGTTAGAAGCGTTAACAAGTGCCCCCCACCCTTTGGATGCTGTGACATGTAAATGCATGTGTGTAACTGTGTATGTGAATATATGTATATATTACACGTACTTATAGTACACTACTAACACGATCAAATTGAGAAAGTATATATATGGTATATATCCAATGATTTGATGTATATTGGTGGTGTGTATGAAATTTATACGTGATGGTAGTGGTAGTAGTGATAATAGCGATGATGATGGAGTCGAACGACTCCCGAGGTGCGATGCATCTCTCTCTCTCTTTTTTTTTTTTTTTATCTTGTTGGTTTCTCTCTCTTTCTGCAATGGCGTGTGTACCAGCAGCAATGGTGTCGACGAATAACAGTTGCTCGGGTGGGGTTGAATAAACGGCGAACGAGGAGACGCGTGCGCGCGTGTATAAACGAGAAAGAGTTTTATATGTGTGTGTGTGTGTTAGTAAGAGAGAGAGAACGAAAGAGAGAGAGATGGGGGAGTAAGGGGGTGGACGAAGTCGAATGGTAAGGGGAACAAGAAAGCCACGGAAGTTAAGGGGAGGAAAGAAAGAGAAAGAAAGAGAGAGAAAAAGAGAGAGAGAGAGAGAGAGAGAGAGAGAGAGAGAGAGAGAAAATCAGTAGTGTCGTAGGTATTATTACACGTGTATTGGGAAGTTGGAAGGGAGTGGTGGTGGTAGTGAGGAAGAGGAACACTTTTGCAAAAGAAAGGAAAAATTGTTCAACCCCTTTTTTTGTTTTCTTATTTCTTTCTCTCTCTCTCTCTTTCTTTATGGTTTTATCTCGTCGTCGATAAAATTGATTCGAAACTAAATCGGTTCGCGTGTATCCATCTATCGTCGCGTTTCACGGTTATTTTCGTAAATTGCGAGGCACCTTTCTTCCCTTTTTCTTCCCTTTTTCTTCCCTTCCATCCCCTTTCCCTTTCTTTCTTTTCGTATTTCCCATTCCATTATTTCCCTTTCGATACACCCAATTCCAACGATCGGCTATCTCGTTTCTATTTGAATCTGAAAAACTAGCACCGAGGGTTAAATCGACAATTACGAAAACGTAGAGAACATTATTTTCTCACTGAGAGAGAAAAATAAAGAGAGGGAGAGAGAAGAAAAAAAAAAAGATATATGTAGTAGAGGGGAAATGGAAATGGGGAGATACAAATTTACAATGAACGAGATAAAGATTTTACGAATTCTTTTACGAATTCTTTTACGAATAAGAGAAAGAACAAAAATGATGTATCTCCATTTATATTTTGTAATAATTTATAATAATTAATATATCATATTACGTTCTAATAGAAACACATTTTTGGTGTCTTCTTTTTCTATTTTATATCTTTGAAAAAAAAAAAAAAAAGAAAAGAAAATACAACGATACATTACAATTTTTCTTCTTTTTCTATTAATTTATTTCTTTCTTTTTTTGAAGGGTGAGAAATTTTCTCTAGTTCTCCCATTTCTGTTTCTCTTTTCAATCGGTTATGTTCTTTTAATATACCAGTAAAGGATCAACCAACACAACGACGAGACGACGACGACAACGAAGAAGTTTCTTTCCCCCATGAATACCATCATCGTCATCGTCGTCGTCGTTGTCGTTGATGGCTTCGAGGCACCCTTGCTTGGCTAAGATAGACGTAAGAAATAAAGGAAACGAGAAAAAGTCAAAAGAAAATACAAGAAGAAGAAGAAGAAGAGAATAGAAAGAAGGAGGAAGAAGAGAAAAGGTTCTTTCACCTGTCGACCGTATTCCTCCCTACCCATCCCCATCCCCATCCCCATCCCTTAAAAAGGAAAATGTTCGGAATAAAGAAAATGCCCTCGGGAAAAACGATCCTAACGATATACTCCCTTTTCTTCTATTTTTATTTTCAGTCTATATATATATATATTGGTCTCTTTCACTTAAAAAAAAGAAAAAGAAACCAACGAATTCCATTCCCCATTTCATCATCCCTCCTAACATCCGTAAACATCAGCAACAAGAACTCATCCACGATTTTCAGTAGCAACAGCAGCAGTAGCAGCAGTAACACACCCCCAATCAACCCTTCTTTCTCGTACCATATCCAGCCGTTATCTTACGAGAATCAACCCCTCTCTCTCTCTATCTCTCTCTCTTAAAAACCATCTTCTTACCTACCATAAATTTTACTCCCTCTGATCTCATTCCTCTTTCTCTCGTTTACAGGATTCTAAGAAAGTATAGTAAAAGGGGTTACACGCGATCTTACATCGGTAAAAGCAATATAGTAGTAGTAATATATATATATATATAGTGATAGCAATAGTAGTATACATAGTAAAAGGAAAGTAAGTAAGGGTAAAAAAAATTACGAGGAAAACGTTTCGTGGACCTCGCCTTTTCGAATAAAATGAGAATAACTCGAGTAAGCATGTATATCTCTCTCCCTCTCTCTCTCACACACACACACACAAATCTGTATATATGTACACATGTATATATATATACATGAGAAAAAAGGGGAAGCTATGGAAAGTAGGAGAAAGAGAGAGAAGAAAAGATAAATATAGTAGGAACGCGTGCAGCAAGTAAAAGAGAAAGAGAGAGAGAGAGAGACTAAGGGTGGTTGGGTGGGTGGAAGGGAGAAGAAACGTGCAGAGGACGATGAACTCTCGCGGTAGGCAGCTTCCGTTGCTTAGCAACGTCCCCTCCCACTCTCCCACCCTCTCCTCTCTCCCACAAACTAATACACGCATAAATGCGCGCACACATATTACACGCAAACACATATATACAATCAGTTCACGACACTACACACAGATAAATCTATTGGTAGTAGTAGTAGTGGTAAATCGGTAGCAGTGTGTATTCTCTTATCTGTGTTGGTAAATGTATAATAGTAGTGGTTAGAGTATTGCTACCAGTTGGTATGGTATGGGTGTGGTGTGGTGTGGTTCGCATCGTTGTCATCGTCGTCAGTTTGTACGCTGGTATTGATCGTCGAGATGCTGCCCTAACCTCTCCTCTCTCTCTCTCTTTCTCTCTCTTTCTCTCTCATGTTCTCATGCAA